GTAAAGCAAATTCTTGTGCACTATGGCAGCTCGGCAAACACCTTGTTCTTGGAGGCCTTTGAGCAGATGGAGTTGCTGAAGAAAGACCTTATTCCGGCCGACGTATCCCTGGTTGGCTTCAATGAAGGGGTGGTGCTACCTCTCAAGAGGATAAACTTGTCAATGACAACGGGTTCTGCACCAAACAAGGTTCACTTTAATCATGACTTTCTCGTAGTGGCAACCTCCTCTCCCTACAACACGATCTTGGGCCGTCCTATCTTGCACACATTGAGAGCAATGGTATCCACTTACTACCTGGCGATGAAATTCCTCACCGACTACAGAGTGGAAATAGTGCACAAAGATCAGGTCGTAGAGGTAGACCTGGAGCCGCCTCCGAAAAATAACGAAGAAAGAACTCTCCCCATGGAGGATACTATCCTAGTGCCAGTCTCAGATACCAAAGGAAAGCAGGTCGTAGAGGTAGACCTGGAGCGGCCTTGGCGCTTGACTACAAGAACCACTGTTCTTTGAGCTGGTAATTTTTTTAATTTCTAATTTAGATGTTTTTTCTTTGTCAGCTGCGGACATGTCCAACATAGACCCCTCTATCATAACTCATAAACTAGAGGTGGTCAGCTCGGTATTAATCCAAGAGGTGGACAGAGTGCAGGGACTTGTCTATTACACAAGTAAAGTCTTGCATGCTGCCGAGACTAGATACCCTAACATCGAAAAGCTAGCCTTCTCCTTTGTTTTAATAGCTCGCAAGTTGCACCCCTACTTCTAGGCCCATATGATCGTCATCTTCACCAATAAGCCTTTGAGGCAAGTGTTCCAAAAGCCTGAGGTATCAAGAAGGTTGACGAAGTTGGCAATCGAGCTTAGTGAATACGAGATTCAGTTTGAGTCTCACCCAACAATAAAGGCCTAGGTCCTGGTTGATTTTGTCATGGAGTGCACATTCAGCTCGCCAACCCCTGAAATTGGAGAACCTGTGACCACCTTGGAGGCATCAACCAGTGCAGCACCTGTCCCAACCTGGGATGAAGAGCCCTGAATCCTCCATGTGGACGGTTCGTCCAATCAAAGAGGAAGCGAGGCCAGACTGATCCTCCTCGGACCAAGTGAGGTCAAGTTAGAGTACTCTCTCTAATTCGCGTTCTGAGCATGGACAATGAAGCGGAGTACAAAGTTGAGCGACTCGAAGAGAATAAGCCGAAGACCGAATCTAAGACAATAAACTTGGATACTAAGAATGAACCGAAAGAGGTGTTGATTGGGTAGACTTATCTTATGAGCAGAGGGTAGTTTTGATACGGTTATTGTACGAATACAACGACATTTTTGCCTAGTCCTACAAAGATATGTCTGGTTTAGATACAGACTTCATAGTTCACAAGATTCCCACTTATCCTGATGCGAGGCCTGTCAAACAGAAGCTCTGCAAGCTTAACCCAAAGTGGTCACTTTAGATCCAAGAGGGAGTTAAGAAGCAGTTTGAAACAGGGTTCATAGAGGTAGCCACTTATCTAAAGTGGCTTGCCAATGTTGTTCCAATGCCAAAGAATGGAAAGGTCCGGATGTGTGTTGATTTTCGGGATGGATTTTCAGCATATAATCGAATAAAGATGAATGAAGTAAATAAGGAGAACACTACTTTTATTACACCTTGGGGAGTCTTTTGTTACAAGGAGATGCCTTTTGGGTTGAAAAATGTCCAGGCAACTTATCAACGAGCTATGACCACTTTGTTCCATGGCATGATCCACATAGGGGTGGAGGTTTATGTAGATGATATGATAACAAAGTCCAAAAGAGCAGAGGGCCATCTACGGGATCTCCGCAAATTGTTTGAGTCATTTCCCTAGTGGAGTCGCCAACCTGTGAACATTAGAAAAAAGTGGCAACTCACTTCATGGTTGAGTAGATGGAGTTGCCAGTCATCAAAGAGCATAATGGGGAGTGATGGCCATTCCGGTTTTCCCGACGTTCATGCAGTGAACTACCGGTTTTCCCGATGTTCACAGTAGTGTTTATAAAATCCTTGCCAAACTGCTAGCTCTAAGGTTAAGGAAAGTGATGAGTTCTCTAATATGCAAGTACCAGAGTGCTTTTATTCATAATAAGCATATCCAAGAAATGTGTTGATTGCAAATGAGCTTATTGACTCAAGCAAAGAAGTGGGAAGCAGGGGGTAGTTATAAAGGTTGATTTAGAGAAGACATATGACCATGTAAACTGGGCCTTCTTGGATTACATTATGAATAGAATGAACTTTGGGCAAAGATGGAGGAATTGGATCAAAGCGTTGAAGAATTGGGGTTACACAAAACTTGGAGGAGAAGCTTTGAGGCATATCTAAAAACGTTGTCTTTAGAACGTTATTTGGCCCCACTTAGTTTTACTGAGTTTGTTGTTGGCTTACTGGCAAATTCGTTCCCAAGATACAACAGAGCCTTGGGTGAAAAGCTACAACCAGCAAAGTTGAAGATTCTATGAGGAACACTTTTGTGAGATAGTAGCAGATCAGAATGAGAAAAACAAGTGTTTTTGTTGTGAGAAGTGAGTGAAAACTTGTGTAAAAATTGGCTTAGTTTACATCCTTTTATAAGTTCTGGAGGGTCACCACAAAGAGAGGTGTGTTCGTCTGAAGAGGTCCTTTGTACAATCACCAATTCAAATTTTGTGACTGTTCACAGAACATTAACGGTTAATGACCGTTATCGTTTGAATGATGTCTCTTGATCACACCCAATCAAGTCATGAGACTCATGACCATTTGAAACTTCTTGATTTTAGACACAGAAAGACACTCCTTCAATGTCATCCACCTCCTTCTCCCCTTTCTAGTCTATTGCTCCCTCCAGCCAAGCCAACCAAATTCACATTTCCCTTTTCCCTCTCTTCTTCCCTCATTTAAAACTCTCCCTTTTGCCTCCTGCATAAAAGAATTAACTTTTTGCACAATCTGAAAACAACAAAAGAGGTTCTTGGATGACACTGCTCACCACCTCCATCACCACGAACTAAGATTCCTCAATCAACAAGCAAATGGGCACCACAGGAATAACTTTATCGAGTTTATGATCAATATGGTATCACATCTCTCAACCAGATAGCCTCCTGTGTCCTGTCCCAACACCAACATCCTTATTAGCTTCACCAAAATTCTCAATAGATTGACAACTAACCTAAAAAACCATGCCCTAAATTTGCCACTGTCACCTCTGAGTTATACCTTGCAAATGCCTTACTCAACTCTCGTCTCTGCCTCCCCTGTCAACATTCATGCAATCAACCTCTGGAGTAGTGTCGAACATTTCCTTCTCCAACTCTTTGTCTCTATAGATGAAACTTGTCGAAGACTAGCCATGGTTTCCCCTGTTTTTACATGAGATATCTTCAGCAAACAAGCCCTTCAAAACCCCTCTCTCATTTCGCAACCTGAATTGAGAAAGCCCATCATCATTTCTAAGACCATTCAGTTTGGCCAACACCTTACCTGATCCAGCTTCCCCACCACTATTTAGCCTAACGAAAATGGGCCTGCCCCGCCCAACCATGTCATTAACATGTTGAGAAAGTAGAAACATTTGTGGATCCCTTATAATTAGATCGAACTGGCCCAACACCCCTGGCCTTATTTAACTGGTTTGATCCACAAATGCAAACTCTGTGGTTTACCTAACTTCTCACAACCCTTCATCTCCTAACATTAAACATTGAACAATAAGAAATTCTATTGCTATTTGTTCCCAATCATAAACTTAGTCTTTGATCGCACACTCCATCTAAATACGTTTTTTGTACACCCAGTAGTTAGAGTTACTTTGTTATATCTAGGCGTATTCTAAAATTCAAGATAGAAGTACTCAATTCTTTTGTGGATAATCACCTATATACATGTATGAATGCTGAATTCAGCAGACATAAATTTCTTTACTTGACATACATTTAATTTATTCTTTTTAAGTATCATTTTCTGGACTCAATGGCCACAAATCTTTTCAGAATCATCTAAGTGAATACCTATATTTAAAATTTCTGCATATTTCCCTCAAGACCTTTATAATTCCTTGTTTTATTCCCCTTTATTTATCTCGGACCTGATTTGAATTTCAGAATTTCAATCCACATATTCATTTATTTTATACTTTTTTTATCAATATTCATTTATTTAATACTTGACTTTGAATTAGTAGTGAAGTTCTACAATTCACAAAGTTTTAGGTCTATATCAATTGCAAAATTTCAAGTCTTTATTGTTCATTTTGGACTTGACCTATCATTAAACTAGAGTAAGTGCTGTTGCCATTACCCATTATTTTTATTTAAATATTTATTCCTTATTTTGTAATTTCATTTCATTAGTGAATTTTTATTGAGATTTTACCTTGTTATTTTGATCTCTGTGAAATTCTTTTTGTGACTCCATCCCTGCAGTGAGTTACTTTTGTTACTTAACTTTCTGTTATATCTTTGTCTCTATTACCATCATAGATTTCTGCAATTTCAAGTTTGATTGAGAATAAATCCTCTGCAATATCATATGGGTCCTAATGAGTTGAAAACAAACTTCTTGAATTTGCTGGTATAAACTCAACTTTTTGGGTATTAGGCTCAACCCAATGATTTATAAAGGCTTGGACTTGCTTGTTATCATCCCATCATGACTCATGACAGCCACTCAAATGTCTGTAAGCTCAGTTTGGAAGGAGTACAAATACAAATATGTAGAGGACAAAACCTTGTATTTTGTATACTGTACATATTTGCATTTGCACTCTTTCCAAACTGACCCTAAAAATCAATAAATTCCTTTATGTCTTTGTACTCTTAACACAACCAATGAAACAATCAAATCAAAGGCATGTCTATCCAATACCCAAAGAATACTATGACATAAACTAGTTCTAATTCTCATCAGAAAACCTGCACTAGTGTGTGGAGAAATAGAAAGGAAAAGAGTGAGAGAGAGAGAGAGAGAGAGAGAGAGAGAGAGAGGAGAAACTGACTGGCAGTTACAGAGGAGAATGCACTTGACCATATCTTCGAACAGGGTCGGGGAGCGAAAAACTCGGCCAAAACCCCTTTCCTTGGCTTCATGGTGGATCTTGTGAAACTCCCTTATATTCCTTTCATCACTGTCCGACAATCGCAGCATTCGGGTTACCTGAGCCTGAAATTAACAATCACACGCTAATAAACTGAATGAAGAGAAAGAAGAGCAAACACTGAAAGTAGGTAGATGGTTGAGTACCAGCAGAACTCGTTGATCATCGGGAGAGAGGAAAGCGGTGCCGAGAACGCGGACATGGAGAGAAGGGGAATTGGGGGGATGGGAGATGCGGACGAGGATTGAAGTGGTTTCATCAGAGAGTCGCAAGGGGCGTTGGAAGGTCTTAGTCGATGGGTCCCACTGGTTCGGTGCCATCATGAACAGCCCATGGCTGCAGACGGCATTCTCCAGACTGAAGGTCGAAACCGATTCCCCAAGCGGCAGAGTGAGCAAACACGACAACGACGGTGACACCTCCAGTTCTTGTTGCCGGTGGCCATCTCTTCTGTCGTCGGACTTCTCCGTAGAATGCTCCATTCTTGCTTATTCAGCAAGGGAAGGCGAGTCTGAACTCTGAGAAGAGTGTAGACAGTGAAGAGACGGAGATAACCGTTGACAGACTGCAGTGTATACTTTTAAAACTTTTCATGTTCCCAAAGGAAAAACCGAGGAAATTAACCCTCGCTGTTGATTTGTCGTGATTTGTTTGATGCCCCACCAAATCCTACAACGGTTGCAGAGATTGTCCAACTTCAATGGAAGGGGGAGAGCTCGCATCGTCTGTTCCGCTAGGGACAATACTCATTTTTTTTTTAAATAAAAAACTGAAAGAAAAAAAAAAAGAAAAGCAATTTTCGATAAATCATCTCTATTTGGGGAAAATCTATGATATGGAAAAAACCTATGGGATGAGATCGACCAATCAACATTCAACTTTTTGTTTGGGTGAATACGGGTTATCCCAGATAACCAGTTTTAAAAATAACTATTTAAATCACATTTCAAAAAAATGTCACCTTCCCCCTTTTCTCTTTATCTCCAAATTCCAACTCCATGCCCTGCGTTATGCCAACCTTATTATCAAGAAGCAATCGAGTCCCGCTACAGAGAGAGACAACCTTTATTGCTGATGGAAAATGGCTTCCCCAGCTGCAATCGAGTCCATTGTCATCTTCAAGAGACCATACAACCTTCGCTGGTAGAAGGTAATAATTAATTAATTAAGCTCTTTAAATACTTATTATTCTATTAACCACCTGCAGCCACATCTATAGACTGTAGTCTATAGGAGATGAGAGGTGTATTTTTCTGCATTTTGTTATTAACCAGATTCCTTTTTTGTAGGATTCTGCCATCAAAGAAGAGTTCCACAATGCACATATCCGTGGGCAATTGCCGAGGTGGTGAAGTAGCTGAATTGTAGCACTAGAGATTGAGTTAGTTTTTTATTCATGGGTGAGTTCATGAGGGTAAGATCAGTTTCTGTTCACATTGCTATAACTGCTAATTCGTATAATACAGCATCGTACTGGTAATAATGGTCTTTCTTGGTAGAACTCTAACTCCAACATAACAAATCGTAACAAAACAAAATATGAAAATCTCTCTAGCTGGTAACAAATTCAGAAATATGTCCAACCCAGAAGAAAATACAACTCAATTAGTGTTTCAGCTTCTTTGTTAGCATTCAGTTCCTCTGAAAATACAACTCAATTACTAGTTCCCCTGTATGTGCTTATTTTCAACTTCTCAAAGCATTTTTTCACTTAATTTGGTAGCCATGTTATCTAGGAAGAATGATAAACAATATTTATGTTTTTGGGGTTTTAATATTGTTGCACCAGTGCTTTACAATTCTTGCCTTGTCATGCTAAATCTTAGATGTCTTGGCATGGTATTTGATCTTGATGAAACACTTGTAGTTGTAAATACAATGCGATCATTTGAGGATCAAATTGATGCATTACAGCAGAAAATAAATACAGAGGTGGATCCCCAACGCATTGGTGGCATGTTAGCAGAGGTTAAGCGTTATAAGGATGACAAGATTATTTTGAAACAGTATGCATAAAATGATTAGATTGTTGACAATGGAAAGGTGATTAAAGTTCAATCTGAGATTGTTCCAGCTTTGTCTGACAACCATCAACCAATTGCTCGTCCACTTATAAGGTTATAGGAGAGGAACATTATTTTGACTCGCATAAATCCTGGGGTATGTATTCACCAAATCCAAATCCTTTACTTAGGTCAAATCCATAACCCAATTGTAGATTTACAATTTCAAAAGGAGAAGTTCGACCAGAAGAGGGAACTCGAAGGAGATAAGAATGGGTAACGAGGATTCGGTTAACGGATAAGTTAAAGAGTGTTTTAAATTTTAATTAATATATAAAAAAAAATAATTACCGGATACTTAAATAAATTTGGTAATTACTGTATATGTGGCAGTAATAGAGGTTTTAGATATGGTATGGTTTTTCATATCATAGTCGGACCCCTCTATTTTTAGTCCTTTCTGTTTGTTGTCAATGGGCAGAAAACTAAATGGAATTTGGAGTGGGTGGTGGAAGAAAACTTGAAGGATGGTGATAGAAAAGAAGGTTTTCCGCAAGTTCTATATCCTTTATTCTTCAGATGGAAGACATAGATTGATTATTCTCTCTCTAGGTTTTTGGGTGAATGGATTTAAATAGGGTGAAACTTATTTTTTGAATGGGTTATAGACTTTTAGGGTGGAAGGTTTTTAACAGGGTAAAATTTCATAAATAATTGCTTGAGTAAGAAACTTTTATGAGATTTTGAGCAGAGTAAAACTTCTATGAGATTTCAGAGATCTTCAAAGACAATCAAAGCTTTCATGTATAATTTATTGGAGTATAGGGGTTTGTTTTAAACAAGAAAGACAACAAACTATCAGGGATTATGGAATTGGCGTGATATTGTTGAATATGGTTTGATTAATATCGTATAAGAAATTTGAAGCCTTTATGTGATTTTAAAGATCTTCAAAGACATTTGAAGCCTCTATGCTCAATTATTAAGGTATAGGGGCTTGTCTCGAGAAAGAGGCGTAATAAACTATCAAATTTATGAAGTTGGTGACATATTATTTAATATGGTTTAATTAATACTGCATAAGAAATCTATGTGATTTTAGAGACGTCAAAGGCATCCAAAACCTGTATATGAGCTTATTTTGAGTGAGCCATAATAACCATTGTTTGTGGGAAATAGGAATACTCTCTATTTAATATGGTTTAATTAATACTGCATAAGAAATCTATGTGATTTTAGAGACGTCAAAGGCATCCAAAACCTGTATATGAGCTTATTTTGAGTGAGCCATAATAACCATTGTTTGTGGGAAATAGGAATACTCTCTATTTGTCTTTTTTTGTTCGCATTGCTGGGAGGAAGATTTAAAACAATAGAGAGGGACCGACTTCTCAATGGGTAGATAAATAATTGGAGAAACAAATACCTGAGCAATAGAGGACTTCAAGAATGTTGGAAGAGAAGTGATTCAATAGGTTCTATGTTCTCTCTATTCATCGGATGGAAGACATCAACTGGTTGTTTTCTCTCTTTGAGCTTTTAGATGTGGGCCAAAAGGTTTCGGACAAGGTAAAATTTTATAGACTTTTAGGGCGGGGGTTAAAAGATATATGTTTTTTTTTTCATTTTTGTGTTTGATAAAAAAGGAAAAAAAAAAAAGAAATAACGGGAGTGTTAACTCACCTCTCGTTACTTTTACACCTCTCCCAAAAGAGCAAAACTTGGATGGAAGTTCAGCTCGCGTTGTAACAACAAACTGTGTAGCCCATCCGGTCTCAATGCTAATGTAGTCTGGACTCCAAAATTTAATCAAATACAATTAATACTTTGTTCTCTTTCCTCTAATCTCTCCTTACCACCCCTTCATCCTCACCATCACACAGTGCAGATTTCACCCCGTCGGAGCTGTTTAAATCCAATGGGTTTGATTGGTCAATTACATGAGAATTTGTACCTGAACACTTGTTTGGAAAATTAGTTTTTTTCTTACAAAACCCAGTTTTGAATTTGTCCTACATTGAAAAATTATAAGTTTTGTTTTCAATATTTGAATAGGAGTTGATTTACACTCCTTAGAAATAGTAGAGAGTATGGAGGTATGATACCACGCAACGTGCATGCACGCGTGTGTGTGGTGCAATGAGGTGCTTTAGAGGTGCACTTTACTCGCACTTCTCGCAAAGGGCGACTTTGGTTTTGGTGCGATGTTGACCGTTGATCACCGTTGATGAGATCAATGGTCACGATCGATCGGGTGTGATCAAGAGGTACAACTGTTAATTACTTTTTAAAGTCACAATGTTTGAAATTGTGACCGTTCAAGGTGCCTTCTCTGAACCAGCACATACCTTTTCTTCATACCTCTTCATAAACTATTTAAGGAGCATGAATCAAACTTCAAAAACACACATTTTTCGAAATCCACTTTCTCTCTTTTTCTCTCTTAGTCCGGTTTGCTATAGTCTCACAGAAGGTTTCTTTGAAAATTCTTCAAGTTTGCTGATTGCAGATTCTCGCTCAAGGCTCTGTTATATCCCGGGAATGGATTTGCTTGTAACCCAACAGCAAACTCAATAAAACTGAATGGGAGCAAATAACGTTCTAAAGACAATGTCTTCAGACACACCTCATATCTTCTCCTCCAAAATTTCAATGACCCCATTTTCTAACAGGAGCAACCCTCACACCCCTCTCTCTTCTCTTCTCCTCCCTCAACGGTTGGAGACGGCAAAGCTTGCCACTACAACCCTCGCATCCCCTCTCTTATCTTCTCCGGCCTCAACAGTTGAAGACAGAAAGGCTCCTCGCTGCAACCCTTTTTGGGATACTTGTCATAAAGCAAATGAAAGTACGAGTAAAATGCAGGGAGAAGTACAAATCAGTCATCTCTTTAACAGATGACTGGAATCCCGATTGATAAATATTATCAGAACTCTCTCTCTCTGTATAAAGTGAAACAATTATTGTCCATAAGGAATCCCGATTGATAAATCGGGTAATTACATCAGAAAATTAAAATGAGGAAAAGATATTGGCGAGAAACAACTGGAATTATTTACTCCGTTTTCTACAGAATTATTGCTGTGTTGGTCTTAAGAAATATACTCAAATTGATGAGTTCCTCTTTCCCATTTTTTATTTCTTTTGAATTATTGAATTGTAGGTCAAAAGGAGAACCGACTTGGTTTATGTGGGAGGCAGCATTGGTTTAATGGGTCTCGTCTCTCAAGCTGTTTACGACGGCAGTCACCACGTAATTGGGTAAAATCTCTCTCTCACTGTTGACACCACAGTTCATCTCGCATTACTCGATATTTTGTTTAACAAGAAAGAAATCTGTGTAGCGGGATCCCCTGTATATATGTTGACGAAACTCATCTTCCATCCCGACATTTTCTGAAGGTTTCCAGTCGTCAAGTCCTAGATTTTCCAGTTCTAGCAAATTTTTCTTTGACTCTCTCTCTTTCTCTCTATCTCTCGGATTTTTCTTTAGCTCTTAGAGAGCTTTAATTCTCGAAGGATGAATAGAGCCACAAGGTGACAGAACAGCTACGCTGGTGGTGGCCATTGATAGAATGTTTGTCAGTGCCATTTATTCTCCGCCATTCCTGTTTCAAGTTCGGAGGTGGAGAGAAAACCAGAGCTGATGGTAGAGAGATAATGCTTATAGATCGACAAGTCGTTGCCTAAACATTCATATCTAGTTTTGGATGCTGGTGCCGGAAATGTCAATGTTGGTGCGTCAGAACTGGTGTCAAGGGGATAATGAGATATTCGGCCAGAGCCAATATTGGTGCTGGTGTTGGAAGTTATAATAAAGATATATTGAGTATTTTCAAAAGTTATAACATTCAGGTGATATATATTTGAATGGTTTGTGATGGGACATTAATGATAAAAAAAGTATTAATCAATTGTGAGAAATAATAAGAATAGCGTTAATCAATTTTTAAACGGTAAGGATACACTTGATTAATTAGTTAAACCATAAGGTGGTTTAAGAAATTTATCCTTTCTTAAATAATAGAGTAAATTTGTGTTCATTTACTGAATCATAGCGGGTGTTTATAAATCTTTGGAGAATTGGAGTCCAGACCGCTAACGACAGTTTGGACACCGTCAGTTTCGAAAGAAGAGGGGAGGGTGGCGTGTTCGGCTCTCATTAGACGGGACAGAAAAAATTGTCCCTACAGGGGACAGACGATGTGAGCTCGAAGGGGGACCCGCTCAACGGTGAAAGTGGAATGCCATCCACCACAAATGAGGCATATTTTAATGACGGAATGGTATTTTCTGAGGACTGAGGGAGAGAGAGAGAGAGAGAGAGAGAGATGGGATTGGGCTGTGCTGCTGCTGCGTCTACATTGTTCTGCCCAACCCCAACGCCACCTGTTTGTCGTGTTACGCCATTGCAATTACAATTGAAGCAGGGCTTAGTAATTAGAAAATCCTGCAATCATCATCGGCATTGTCATTCCTTCGTCAGTTCATGTCTCTCTACTGCATCTCCACCGGCAAGCAGCAGTAACGTCTTGGAGGTGAGAGAGATAAGGGAGAGAAGTAAAAGATGGCAGTGGAGAGGCCATTCTATCAACTACTTCGTTCATCTTCCTCCACAAGAAGGTCCTTCCCCTCCACCTACTCTTCTCCTCGTTCACGGCTTCGGCGCTTCCATCGCCCATTGGCGCAGGTTAGTCGATTTTCTTCCTTCTTGATTTTCGATTTTGAAAAGAAGGATTATCTGCAATATAACGTTTGGAATCGAATTCAGTAAGCGGAAAAAAAAAACCTGATTGTTTTCTGACAAAATAACATCTACACTGACTCATTCACCATAGAATAGAATTTAGTGTGTTTGCAGCTTGAATCTCCAGGTGACTTGGTGTTGGAATTCTCGAGGATTCCAAAGAGTAGATTTCTGCATTTGTCAAGTTTAACAGACGAATAGTCAATAAAACGTCAAAGCCCAGCGTATGAAATTGTTGAGGAAAAAATCTTCGAAGTGAGCTTGTGGATTTCCTTCCAGTAACGTAAAGCTTCCCATCCTTTCCAAGCCTTGCATCAAATAAATAAAAAAGCAATCTACAAGTACCCAAAAGAGAGAATAGGAGTTTAGACACAAAATCCAGTAAAGAAAATCACATATGAAATAGAGAGAGGTTAAAGAAGGTGAATGGCCTATGATTGATGAGAAATATAATATCAATAAAGTGTTACATTAGGGGTGTCAACTGTATTCGGAAATCCAATTTCAAATTCGAGATTTGACATAATGTAATCGGGATATCCTATTCATACCATTTAAGTAAAATATTTTATATAATTTAAATATATAATAATTAAATTATAAAAATAAGATACTTATTTTATATATTTATTGATTACTTAAAATAATTAATCGGCCAATTTCAAATTGAATTGAATTGTCGAATATTTAATTGAATTCGAACATTAATTTTCAATATCCGTCGAATATTGAATTTGATCCGTTTACACCCTGAGTCACACTGAGTTACACTAGTAAAACATAGCGAAACAAGGTGTGTAAGTTAGGACCTGAAAGGTGTGTGAGTTACACTAGTCCGCTGCAGATTGCCATGCCTTTTAAAACTAGAATATCTTGTATATGGTAGGGGTGTAACTTGGGTTGGATTGAGGCCAACCCTAGCCTAATCCAAGGTGTACTGCCAAACCTAAACCTAATTGAAATCAACCTTCAACCTTCAAGCCAATTTAGTCAACCCTAACTAGAGGTGCAAGTTGGACAGGTTAAGGCTGGGTTTAGGGCTAACCTAGGCCTAACCCTAAGACCTGAACGAGGTCTTATTATTTGTAGCCTGACCTGGAAGCCTGGGCCTAGTCCCACATCAGGCTTGAAAATTTGTGGATTAGGTTTAGACCAAATACTTTAAGCCTAGCTTGGGTCTGACCAATGTGAGCTTGTCTTGCACTGTCGGTCCCAAGCTCTCAGATAAAGGAAGATGGTTGCATTAGGTTGGTAGAAGGCATTTAAAATTTTTGAAACTCTTATGGTCATGAATCTTGAATTATCTTTCCATGCTCATGCTTGGGTGTTCCCTAGAGCAGCGTGCTACACTTTAAACCTAAGTGTGGTGTTAAATTGGCAAGGGTATGCTAGGGTGTTCCGCAAAATCCATGCATCATGGCTATGCCTAGTTGTGGTGGAAAATAGGCATGGGTTCCTGCATCATTTTGGACAAGAGTTGGCAAAGAAGTTTGTCCAAAAAACATGAATTCATTTTTTTATCAATAGAAACACAAGTTCCCCCTTGAAATATAGAAACACCAATAGGAAAGACTATTTTTGAAGGAAGGTGAAATATATTGTATTAATTCAAAAAAGTATATGGACCTTTGTACTATGAGTTTCTGAACAGGTATAAGCCCTATTAGGAACTCAAGAAAAAAACTCATAAAAGAAACAGCCATAGTATGATTCTTAAATACATTATTCATTATTAATAGTCAACCAATCTCTAAGAAATTCTACCACCATAGGGTAAAGAAGAAAGATTAATATTGCATGCTTTAAGAAACTAAATGAAAGGGTAAAGAAGCTAAAGAAATTGATGGGTACAAATTATAGTACACAGAGAAGTAAATAATAGAAATTGAGTAGCAATAATGGTAAGGATCTAAAAATGAAATTATAAATGTTAAAAGAATTGGAGATATAATAATTTTAATTAAACTTTTTTTAATTGATGAAATTATTAACATAACTAGTGCTTATACACCTCAATTGGGTTTAGAAGTAAATATTAAAAGACGATTTTGTGAAAACTTAGAAAGATTAATCTAAAAAATTCCAAATGAAGAGGAGAGAGAGTTACTGATGAGTTAATGAGAAAAGTTGTAAAAGTGATTGGCTACTAGAGTTATTTTGTTCAATTTTAAAAGAATGAAATAATAAGAAACATTCAAGGAGAAAGGAGAGAACATAGATAGATAGATACCATCACCTGCTCATGTATTACCACAAATTCTTAAAGTAACTAGCATGTATAAAGCAGATTAAAAAGCTATTTGATATCATATTAAACAATTATAGATAAACATAAATAAAAATCTCTAGAATAGCATTGTCATTAGTCGATTAGTTGACATAATCAATGCTTAGTTGTACTAGGTGACTTTATACTGCATTGATGGACTAGTTAGTGACGCAATCAATATGGCCCTTAACCAGCTAATCAGTCGACTTATTTTAATGAAGCCATAGAAAAGGAAGAATTGAAATCTCAGAAGGAAGAAGAGATTAAAGAAGTTTGAATAGGATCTATAAAAGACTCCTATTTCTATCTCAATCCAAATTACAAAAGCTGATTGCTGGCATGCTGATAATACTCTAATACGTGCTAAAAGGGTTAGGCCATACATAAGTGAAGTTTCCTCAACAGATGTGACTTTCATGTATGTAGAAATTTAAAGAAGATGTAAATGTTATTATATTTACTCTGATATATGACAGATACAGTTCTCAAGTGTTTGTTGATTCCCAACTCTTCCATGGGAAGTAGAGCATCAATAATTCACAGTCAATGTGATATTCACTGAAAATATTATAGGCACCATTTGAAAATATACAACTATGTGCATAGATATGAAATTTGGCCCTTTCATTGATGAGGTTTTAACTCTATGTTAAAGGTATTGAAACATGTGATGTTTTCCTGGCAATACTGTTGCCATATGATGTCCTGCTTCTCACCTCTCAAGAAAGAGGTTAACTACATCATCCAGTTAACCTGAAGGAAGATTCAATTTCATTGTTAGGCATGGATAAAGAACTTGATGACATCTCTTTCAATCGCAGCTTAATGGTGCACAATGTTTTGGAGGAGGTAGGCTTCAGTGATTCTTCTTTTCTTTCTGAATTTGAAGAGGGGAGGAGCTTGAAGAACACACAACCAGAGCATGGGAGAGAGGATATTACTACGATGGTGGATTTGAACCAGTTCGCAGGCCTGAATCCTGTTGAAGAGGAAGAAAGAGCCATTGAGGTTTTAAGGATAGAGGAAACCTTAGTAGAGGGGCCCCACCCTGTTATAATTGGCCCAGATCTATGGAACAAATTGGACAAAAAGAAAGAAGAAAACGTAAAAGGGACTTTGCTTGCTGATTCTGGTTCTAAGGTTTATTTAAGGAAAAGATCATATTGAGCAAGACTTTTAATAGAAGAAACACTGGAAGGTGATGACTCTTCTGACGAAGATGAGAGGTTAAGTGAGTCAAGTGAGGAGGAAGTTTATTTGGATGAAACACACTACGTCAACAAGACCATTGACTTAAACAAAGTGGTTGATAAGGCATTGGAGGTAGGTAAGGCCCTGGGTTTGCTTGTGCTGGGAGGCAAATCTTTCAAAAGGAAGATGTTTAAAGAGCTAGAGGAACGCTATGAGATGCCTGTAAGGGAGAATGGTGGAGATTCTCAAGAACATCCACCACTGACTGAAGAGAGTTATAATGATTTGAGTACAATTAGACCAGAAGAAGCTGATAACGAAAGAAGTACAGCTTTGGTTGATTCTCAGTATTTTGAGAAGAACATGGTCCTAGAGCTGGAGAGGATTAATGAGAGATTTTATTGCCCGTTGGAGTCCAGGAAGATTGTTGCAGCAAATAGAAGACTTAAAAGATAAAGAAAACATAGAAATGTCTTGGTTGATTTGAGTACAATTAGACCAGAAGAAGCTGATAATGAAAGAAGTACAGCTTTGGATGATTCTCAGTATTTTGAGAAGAACACGGTCCTAGAGCTGGAAAGGATTAATGCGAGATTTTATTGCCTGTTGGAGTCCAGGAAGATTGTTGCAGCAAATAGAAGACTTAAAAGACAAAGAAAACATAGAAATGTCATGGTTTCAAAGGCTTTTGCTAGACTAGAGGGAAGTCTCTTTGAGATAGGACCAAATAAGAAGTTGCTGAAAATCAAGAAGATTGTAAGAAGATATTAGTTTTTAGCAGATCACAGGTTGTAGCTTGTGAGCTGCTTTTGGTTTTGGTTGTGTTTTCGAGTTTTAGAAGTGCATTTGTGGGGCATTTTGAATGGTTCTTGTTTTGAGTTTTGTCTTTGGACTAGATTTTTGTTTTTTTTTTTGTCTGTTGAGAGGCTTTTGTCTTGTGGGCTCTGCTTTTTGATGGTCTTGTTGAGGCTAGGCTGGCTTAGAGTTCTCGTGTTTTGAGCCTTGGAGTGCTATTTTGTTCCTCTTCTCTCCCGAGTGGCTTTTGGTCACTCTTCTCTGTAATCTCTTTTTCCTTTTAATAAATTTTTATTTTATTACCAAAAACTATTTATCATATAAAGATGTCCTGCTTTTTGGAAGGCAGCAAGAGCTGCTGTGGTGTGGACTATATGGGAGGAAAGAAATCAAAGAGTTTTCTTTGAAAAAAGCAAATCAAAGGAGGAAATCATTGAAGCCATAAAAATCAGAGCTGCACATTGGGTGATGGCCATGGAACTATTCAAGAACATCTCCACAAATGACATTCTAAGGAACTGGACTGAAGTGGCACATATGTACCAAAAGAAATTATGAGAGTCGAGTGGAAACCACCTGCACTAAAGAAACTAAAACTAAACTTTGATGGGAGTTACTTTGGCAACCCGGGAAGGGCAGGTATAGCCGTATAGGGGGTGTGTTTAGAAATCATCAGAGAGAAGTTGTAGCACTATTCCCAGGACCAATAGGTATTGATGACTCAATTCATGCTGAAACTCTAGCTCTCCTACAAGGCTTAAAGATGGCCAAGCAGATTGGAGCAACAGATTTAGAAATTGAAGGAGACTCACTACTGGTCATTTCTTGGGAAAAGCAAATCACTTCAGCACCTTGGAAGCTCAAATTTATCTTTAGGGAAATTGACCTACTTGCAAGGAGGTTCAATTCTCAGTTTGGTAGATACCCTAGCAAAACAGGGAGCAGATAGACCTACTTTGTTCTGGGCATAGCTGTAAGTGTTTGTAGTTTGGGTCAATGCAGTGCTGAAACCTAACTCTTGTACCTTAATATTATCTTTGAAATTAATAGAAGTCTTATTTACTGACAAAAAAAAAGATGTCCTACTTTTTTTTTGATATTCTAACGAAACACACTAATAATTCTCAAGGTAGCTGGAAACAGGTAGCGGGACTCAAATCCGCATCTCCGCTGGGACTACCCAGCTAACGTACAAACTGAGCCACCACTCGGTGATTAAAAGAATTGTTTTTAATCCTTGGAGATTCTCATAACTCTGTAGGACTAATAATACGTCCAAGACCTCTGTTTTTTGCCTTATTTGTCACATACATTGTGCTACCAGCCTACCATTGATTTGATTTGGATGATCTTGTCTGGATTTCACCTGTTATGGACTACTTGTTTGACCCATCTTCCACATTTCCTTTCTATTTGTTTTTCCTCCACTTGAATTCAGGGATACTAGAAAATTGATGGACCTTTTCTTACAATTATCTTCTTTGTTGTCATTCATCTACTGGTAAAAGTGTGCCTAAACCGTTCCTATAAAATCCTATGACACTTCAACATTCTCATCTATCTATTTCCAATTGTGTTTCTTTAATTTTCAGAAATATTGGTGTACTATCTCAAAGCTACATTGTTTATGCCATTGATCTGCTTGGTTTTGGTGCTTCGGATAAGCCTACAGGCTTTGCTTATACAATGGAAGCATGGGCTCAGGTATATCTCCATTTATGCCTTTATTCTATCTTTCTTTTGTGCATGTCCCTTTATCTTGTTGACCTGACTGTTTTATTGTGACAGCTGATACTGGATTTCTTGGATGAAATCATTCAGAAGCCAACTGTTCTTGTTGGGAATTCTGTGGGAAGCCTCGCCTGTGTCATTGCTGCCTCAGGTATCTTCATAAGGCGTTGTGGTTAAAGGGAATTCTTCCTTTCTTTTATTTTATGATGGTAAACACAAGCATGATGACATGTTAAACTGTATTGAACAGTGGCCAAGGTGTTTATATCAATTTTCTTTTGTCAAATCAGGTTCGATGCATGGCCTGGTTCGGGGGCTTGTTCTTTTAAACTGTGCAGGTGGCATGAATAACAAGGCAATTGTTGATGACTGGAGAATCAAATTGTTGTTGCCTTTGCTTTGGTTAATCGATTTCTTATTGAAGCAACAGGGAATTGCATCGGCGATCTTTGAGCGTGTCAAGCAGAGGTACTGTTCCTTATTGTATCAACTCTCTTTTAGAATCCAAGAGTACTCGATGCACGAATCTCATGCTTTTATGTTTTACACAGAGAGAATCTAAGGAGCATCCTATTGTCTGTATATGGAAACAAGGATTATGTTGATGATGTTCTGGTAGAGGTAAGATAAGCCTCCTATGCTTGGATGTCTACATAACATCATGTTATAGTGACTGAATGCTTGCATTTTCATGAAAATGCAGATCATAAAAGGACCAGCTGATGATGAAGGGGCACTTGATGCCTTTGTTTCAATTGTGACAGGTCCACCAGGGCCAAACCCAGTACAGTTAATGCCAAGAATCTCAATACCTGTTCTGGTTTTATGGGGTGATCAAGATTCATTTACTCCTCTTGATGGGCCTGTTGGAAAGTATTTCTCTTCTTTACCTTTTGAATTGCCAAATTTAAGCCTTTATGTTCTTGAAGGAGTAGGGCACTGTCCCCACGATGACAGGCCTGACCTGGTCCATGAAAAACTACTCCCTTGGTTGGCTAATCTTCCTGCTTCATGAGTGAACTTTCTACCTTGAAAACGTGGCAGTTTCCAACATGTAGATACATTTCTTGATTGTTTATAGATTCAGCCAACTATAGTGTATATACCATAAAGCAATCAACTTATATTAGGGAGATTACATCTCAGTACTGTAATTCCCTTTGATGTCTCTTCTTTTTCCGTGAATTGTCAAGAAGAGAGAGGACAATATCAGAAGGAAAAAATGAATGAAAGAATGATCTTCTAAATAACGTTATCGGTTATTCCATTCGTTTCATTTCCTTTACAGTGATTATCCAATGCCACTGTCTGACATCGAAGTGCTCAATGTAGATATGGGATGTTTTCTCTTTAATTATTTTATTATCCTTAAATCCTACTAGATTTGCTCAAATATCTAGGTTGTTCTTTGGTTTTTGATGCTTTTGGTTGTTGTAGTTATCCTCATCTCCATGAATTATCTGATGAAGAAACTCTTAATTTGAACATCAAAAACTTTGATGTCTTCTCCCAGAAATCCGTAAAGAAGTCTCAAAATGTTCTGGGGTATAAGTACTTGCTCCAACTCTTGGAATGTTTTGACCTTTGCACAATTTGATGGTCATATTGTTCAGAATTAGGAAGTCTTAAAACTTGAGCAGGTATATTATAGTTGCTTTATTTGTGGTAGAATTAGAAACCAACAAATGAAGAAAAACAAACGCAGATACAGCGGAAAATACAAGATTTAAGGTGGTTCGGCAGTTTGTGCCAATGTCCAGTGATAAAGCCATGAAAATTCACTTTTTTCAACTCTATAATTACAATCCTGGCTCACAGTGTATCTTATATCAAAGTGTAAGTTTTCTGTAGCTTGATTCCAAATAAGAATATATACAGGCAGTACAACAAATATTGAAATAACCCCCGTCCAAACAATGCACAATTGTTTGGACCCCATTTTGCATGTAACTGGGCTATCAATTAGTTGGGTCAGAATATTTCTGCTTCTGATCTAAGGGTCTATTTGGTTTGCAGTTGGAATTGAAATCAAAATCCGTTGGAATCAGAATTCCCCCTATCTGTTTGGTTCAGGCGAGAATTGAAATCAGAATCAGCTGCAATAGGATTATCATTGTCAAGGGAGGGGAGGGAATGATCTTTGGTTCAGGCGAGAATTGAAATCAGAATCAGCTGCAATAGGATTATCATTGTCAAGGGAGGGGAGGGAATGATCATTCGCTCAAAAGGAAGAATGCCATTAAACCAGAAATGGGAATCGGATTCCAATTTCACCTAATCAAATGATTTGAATCATTCCAATTTCGACTCTAAACTCCTATTTTTATGAACCAAATGGATCCTAATGAAATATGGAAACTTGGAAACTTGGTATCATCACAGACTCTATGGGTTACCCTATTATTAATCAAGTTTATCGAACCCGACCCAACAAAGCATGATAGTAGTTGACATGCCTTAGATTGGCCTTTTAACAATAAACCAGTTAATTATCTGCTCTTTATTTTGGAAGTGTCTTGTTTATCACATAGATGTTTGTAAATTTAGACATCTTATATCAATTATTACAGGCAGACATTGGGTATCTTTGGGTAATATATCAGTTTGGGTCTCAATTTAGTAAAGTAGCCAGCTTGTTAATTTTAATATATAATGCATGATGTTTATAGGCTACCTTTTCCTTGTTTGTGCTTTAGAAGTGGAGAGTACGGCATGGACACTTAGAGTGGTATCTCATTTATTCATGTCTGACTCAGGCATGTCATGGGTGAGGGTGAATAACATCATATACGTTGACAATAAATCCCTAGGATTTGCCCTATGTTCAAACAAGTCACCTAATCGAAAAATCGATCGAAACCAAACCAAAAATCTGGTTAATTAAATTGATCGATTCGGTTTTGGTTAATCAATATAGAAAACAAGCAGTTAATCGAATTGACCAATATACATATATTTTATATATATTTATATATATTATATATTTTTTTATATTTTTTATATTATAAATTAATAAATATGTATTATATATAAATATATATGTATGTTTATAATATATAATATATTATTTATTATTTAAAATATAATATTATATATATTTTTATTTTTTATTATACATTTATATGCTTTTTATAATATATATTATAAATATAAGAAAACCCAAAAACCGACAAAACGAATAGATGGTTAATCGAATTGGTCAATCAATTAACCGATCAATTTCAGTTCGATTTTGGTTACCGGATTTTCAGAAATCGGTAAGACTGATTTAGTTTCAAAAATAGGCCACGGTCAGTAACTCCTAAAGCAGGTCATATATCAAAGACAAAAAGTTGAGTGGATGGATGAGCTTTATTTGGTCTTTGAAGGTTTGATGGATGTCGGACAGCCCAATAGGCGCAGATTAGCATCTTATAGCATTTATTATTAGCATCTAAAAGACAAACAATTGCATGGTCACTTATAAGTGATTGGATCGGCTGCCCACAAAGTGGAACCAACTCTACTTTGAAGCAATAATTAACAAGTGCATTACAAGAAATAGAGGGAGAGACTAAAAAAGAAGTCAACTTATGGAGCTGATCTCATCTGCTTGGGCCCTTTGGACCTTAGAAACCACCAATCAGATAGGATGGAGTAATTTAATTTAGGTTCAGATTGATCACCATCTGTCCACATCTCAAAATAATCTGGTTCCAGTTAAGACTTTTTTCCTCTTTCTTTTCATTATCTTCTGATCATTTTATTAGCATCTAAGTATCAAGATATGCACAAAACCTAGAGAAGAATCTGTCAAACGTTACTATAAGTCAGTCTAAGCTGAGTTATCTCTGGTTTGGGGCCCAAAACCGCTCAACATGTTCATCCCCCCCTAGCTTCCATTAATTGTATAAATTTTGGCAGAAGAAAAAAAGCTCAAAATAAACCCTTTTTTCAGAAAACTTTGATAATAAAATATTATAGATAATATTGCTTTTGGAACTGACTAATGGAAAGTGGGGTGTAGGCTGATGTAGATTGCAAAGGAGCGGCTATTTTATTCAGAGGCTTACCTATAGCTACTTGGTGATTGACTTGAATAGGCCACATCATCCCTCTACTTGAAAGAAAAATGCCAGAGAGGACCATACTTATAACCTGATAATGAGAGAACTTTTTTTTTTTTTCGGCTGTATTTAGAAATGATGCAAAAGTGTGAATGCAAATATATAGAGTGTAAAATGGTTTATATAAATTATAAAGTTGGGTTAGCTTTGCATTGACAAATTAGGTTAGATGGATTTACTTATAACCTTGATGTATATTTACACTCCATTTGCATCGTTTTCAAGCGCAGCCTTTACATAATTGGGTTAGATGGATGATTTAGCAAATAAAACTGAATTATTAAAACTGTATTTGGAAGCGATGTAAATCAAGAATCGATGTAAAATTTACATCGGTTTGGTTTTATAGGCGTTTGGAAGGAGCATGTAATTATGACCAACGTAAAACTCCACTCCGGTTTAGTTTTGCATGCATTTGAATGGAGTGGAGTTTTATGTCGATAATCGATGTAAAATCTTATCAAGCATAAAGTTTTACATCAATAATCGATGTAAAAACTACATCGATTTTATTGATGTAAAACTTTACAATATTCCACCCATTGCGTTTTTCAAAAAGTAACAGTCACTTTCGCGGTTCACGTGTAAAACGTTATCAGTGTATTTTTACACCAATGACGTTTTACACTGATTCCAAACGCAGCCTAAGGAAATAATAATCAACCATGGACTCGATCACAGTACATGGTGTAGGGCAGCTCATTAACAGGTGCAGTGGTTGGCACCCCAACCCAGGTGCAGGCGGGATTCAGTCCTAAGTCTCTGCTAAAACTAGCAGGAGACCTTACCAATCAGCTGGTTGGTACTTTGAGACAGTGGTGCTTTATAGATAGGGATATGGGAACAATTTGTGAGTAGCAGATCTAAAATGGGAAAAAACAAGGTTTCCTGTAGCACTCCATCAATGGTATTTTACCATTCATCAAAATATAATAGTACTACGTATCCTATAAGCAACCGCCTACAAAAAAATTCAAGAAAGAAAGAATATGGTGGGATGAATCCTGACCGTGAATCGATGCTAAATTTATGGGCAGGATGTGATTTATAAGGGACTGTAATTTCAGATTTCTGAGGTGGAGTGCAGTCTACCTATCCCAAAAGAAAATGGTGAGTATATATGGTTGACATGGTCGTGTTGATTAGATGTGGATGACGAGGCTAAACGTCATTATATTAGTTTACTTCATCCATTTTCTTTAAGGAGCAAAGGCCCACTATAACGATGGATAACAAAGGCGAGGCAAGTATAGCGTAGAAATATTTGCAGGGTGGACGACAAACTGTGTTTGGGACATTTTACATTTAGTTTTACAAAATTTTGGATTCTTCTGTTTGGCTTCGAAAAGGTAGCCCATTTCTAGGAAATAAATTCACATTTTGGATTATGGGGTTCAAATCTGGGCTCAGGCCCATATATATAGAGAGAGAATATATGGCGATATTTTTCAAATCTGGGTTCAAAGCTGAATATATGGCGATATTTTTCACTACACCAAAATCTCATGTTCTAGAACCCACATCACATCTATTTTATTTTATTTATTTATTTTTTTTACGCCCACATCACACCTATAGTTTAGTTCTCTTGTCCATGTTTACAAACTTTTGCCCTCCCTATCCATGTTTACTAGTTTTTCGCCCCCTCAAGAAAAAATCCTAGTTCCATATCTGATGACCACAATAAAGAAGACTTGGTGACGTGTGGTGTATTTCAAAACACACCATTTCAAAGTTCAAACTGACCAAGATGGGCCCAGTGGCCTGGAATGTACCACGCATCTCAGTGTGCATTTGGAACATCTACCCAAGGATTAAAGTATCCATGGTCATGGATACGGGATACGCCACGACTGGGTATGTATCCCATGAATCGTGCATATCGGCACAATACGCCTCCGTATCAGGCTGTATCGCATTGTGTCAGTGGACACTATCTGATATACACCGATACAGAAGTATATTTGTGCCTAGTTTGACAAAATTGTATATTGATTGCTTTTGGATTGTTTTTCATCTTTAATAAAAATTAAAAAATATAATTATAAAAACTGAAATAAATAATGTGATGTAATTTTTCCAAAAAAATGTAATAAAAATTAAAAATTATAAAAATGATATATTTCATCTATCTTAAATAATTTATATATTTTCTTTACACATAGTTATATGTTAAAAATGAAAACATAGTTATTATTCAAAAAAATAGAGTTATTATATAAAAATACTAAATAAATAAAATTTCCCAACAAAATTAATGGAAAATAGAAAAATATAATTAGAAAACTGATATGAATAATTTAAGATTTAATTTCCAAAAAATTTAATAAAAACTAAAAAATATAAATAATTTATTTTATCTATCTTTAATGATTTATATGTTTTATTTTACAATTATATGTTAAAAATGAAAACATATTTATTATTTAAAAAAGAGTTATTATTTATATAAAAATACTAAACTAATAAATATTTCCAAAAATTAATAAAAATTGAAATAGAGTGATAATTACTGTATGATGTTCGAGTGTTTTAGAGTCCTGATATTGTTGATTGTAATGTTTCTCTTCATATATAACCTATTGAAGTATGCATTTCTCATGTGTTTATACCTTATTCATAGATAATTCATCTTTTAATTTAGTATTATTAATATATTTATGTGATTTCTATGCATTTTTCTAGCATATCTAATGTTTCTATATCTTTCGTCTGTATCCATGTGTTTCCAAAACATATCCATATTCGTATCCGTATCCAACTTGTTTGATACAATACCTGATACCGATAATTTAATCCTTGCATCTACTATACTTGTCATTACGAGATGTTCCCAATACACGGGGGCGCTCTACGTGGCACCCATGCGAATTCCTTCACAATTAGGGGGGGAGGGGGGTGGCGGCCCATCAGTTGGATTTTACTATATGGTTCAATAAGGTGCCTCTCATTGATTCATGACTCATGAAGTGTGGCTCCAAACTTCAGACAAGGAAATAATTATTGTGAACATTAATTTTCTATCTTTGAGAGAATGGGTTATTAACATGTAACCAATGTGATCAAGGGTCATTGAATGACATCCTCCCATTTGAAATTAAATATAATAGAGATGACTGACCAAAGGGGATTACCAGTCCCCTTGGACTTGGCCAAAGTCATTAATTAAACACAGCTGGTTGAGGTATAATAATTATATATAAGGTTCTATAAAGTTGGCCAAGTAGTTATTTAATTGCCCCCTACATCACCAGCTGTGTTTGGTAGCTAGAGGCCAATAGAACTATGTAAGTGTGGAATTGGAGGTATATATATATTATATATTAAACTGATTAGTCTCTTCAATAAATTTAATTTTTTATGTTTGAATGTTTCTAGGAGTTGAGGAAGACTATATTAATTAAACAATCAAAAGCATCTAATCAGAAACCATAGAAGATAGACATCTCCAAACTGTACAAGAATATTCAAATATATATTATGCCACAATATGGTGATTTTCAGTTCTTCAGAGTCACCTGGTGCATTGAAAGAAATCTTTTGATGAAGTTGTTGAAGAATCATCACAGAAGAGGAATAAGGAGAGTTGTTTACTTGTGTTCTAATTGAGATTGAGTGGTTTATTTACTTGTTATCCATTTTATGTTCTTTCATCAATGGACAAAAAGATCCAGGCCTGTCTTCTGGTCGTTCTCTTTCAAATTTCATTTTCAGGTGCACAGACAAATTCTAATGATGGTAAGCCTTGTTTCTTGAATTTATTTTAGAAGATTAAGATAGATTATCACAGAGAAGGAAATTATAAACTGGGTTTCCATAAGTAGTACACTCCAAAACATGTAATGTTTTTAATTACCTCTCTGTCTCTGTTAAGACATATAGAAACACTGGATGTGTTTTGGGTTTTGCCCAAACACTAGATGTTTTTAAACACGCCCTTACAGAGAATAATTTCTCATGAGAATGAAAAAGTATCAGGAAAAGAAACTATGTACATTCACCAATTCAGGACTCAGGAGAACTTTTTCATGGCAGCTGCCTTTTACTTTCAATTCGATCTTCAGTCCTCAAGCCTCTCCTTGAGAAAAAAAAAGCCAACTTAGGTCCCGCCATAGTTGTAGTTTTCAGATCATTGGAATTTGAGGTTACTGGGTTGACTGTAAGAGTGATCATCTGTTTATTACATTGGCTACTGCTCTATCAGTTCAATGCTATATATGGATCCTAGCAAATCTTGTTTCCTTAACAAAGATCCTGAGAAGATGATTCTGTTCCTTGGTTTCTCCCTTCATTTCATCTGGAATAAGTTGAAGATTAATTTCTCTGCTATAATTTTTTAATTGTAAATAGTTACCAGAAAATAGTGTTCTTATGATGATGTTACTTCTGTTTTGGTATGTCTGAGTCAGTTGCTGCTCTGAATTCAATAAGACTTCTCTGGAAAAACACGCCATCCAATTGGGAAGGTTCAGACCCTTGTGGTGGCGGGTGGGTAGGAATTACCTGCAACAATTCTCGTGTTGTCTCCATGTAAGTCATTAACCAAGCTTTTCTTTTTCTTACTCTCATGGATGATTTTTGCTCTTAACCATCACTTCATACCTTTACACAACCAATTCGATTTCATCAGAACATTGTCAAGCATGGGACTGAAGGGTCAACTCTCCGGCGACATCCAGTCCCTCTCTGAGTTACAGGCTTTGTGAGTCTTCTCTACTTGAACTACTCTTTCTTGATGGAGATGTGATTGACAACTTGCCTTTTCCTGGTTAATTACATAATTATGAAGAGTCCTAGCTAGCTTTATAATCAGTTGATCCATGCGTGTAGGGATCTGTCCTACAACAAAGGTCTAAATGGATCCCTCCCGGTATCCATTGGGAGCTTGACAAAGCTTTCTAATCTGTAAGATAAAACTTGATGACTTCTACACTAGTACCTTTTTCTTTGGATAATTTCTAGAAGGGTGCCTGATTGCTTAATTTAGAGTCCTATTGATCAACTGGTTTCTAATTATGTCAGGATCCTGGTTGGGTGCAGCTTCTCTGGGCCAATCCCAGATACAATAGGTTCTCTAAAGCAGCTGGCCTTTCTGTAAGGCATCAAATTTTAGAAGTGGTTCTTGTGTTCTGTTGAATGGGTCAACCAATTAGTTGTGTCCTGATTTCTTAAGGACAAATTTGTCCAATTAGTGCCATTATTTATTCTTCTAAATACTTCCCCCTATTTATTTGTAAAACAGTTGACTCTTCTAAAAGATTTTTATGTGTAATACTTTTTGAAGAGAAAAATCGAACCATTTAGCCATTGATCATACATGTATTATAATCAAGGTTCAAATTATCAACATGCCTATCGGCCTGTATTCGGTACTTTTTTTTAGGTTTTATTTTTTTTTTGAAACTGGTTCAGAGGGGTCGGTTTAAGACCTGGCCACCCTTTGAACCAGTGCCTGACCCGATACAACCCCTGGAGGGGCATATCGGGAAGCTATCGGCATGATACGTCTCGACCGTTATGGGCTGATACGTACGTATCAATACTTTAAACCTTGATTATAATTACTCTCTCAAAGAAAATATCAATTGTTACTTATACTGTCTTCTCTGCTTACTCATCTTTGGATTCCAAAATTTATCGCTTTGTTACACCATTTATAGTGGATAACTATATTGTATAAATATAAATAAATAAATAAACCTAGAAGAGAACCATACGATGCACAAACTAGTGTTAAAAAGATGCCCATGCATGCATTCAATTTTTTAATAATAATAATAATAATAACTGAATTGGTTGTGAGTAAGTTTAAATATATCTATATTTTATATATTTTTTTATATATTTTCAATTCAAATTTTGAAGGGATTGGAAAGAAAAGGGAGGAGAGAGAATAGACTGATGTAGATTGTTGACCAACAATGTTATATATATCCACGAATAATTTTTTCTTTTTCATATATATATATATGTATTAAATTAATTTTCTAATATAGTATATAGAATATTGGATTGATATAAAATTAAATTTGCAGAGGAATATTATTTTAATCTATGGTTAGCTAGGAATGACAATGAGCCAGAAAAATATTGATTTATTTGTCTTAGCATAATTAGAAATCTAATTTATTTTTATATTAAAAAAATCCTCGAATATAATAAATAGAACATTGAATTAATATAACTTAAATTAAGATAGAATCAATTGACATTTCAATTAATAATTGATTTCCTAAGTTTTCTGCAATTAATGATAATGGAGCCCTCATTATGCCTTTTTGTTTCTTTTACATTTTTACAAAATTAATTTTAAGGAGGAGAAACTTTTTAAGGAGTCGCCAATATGTCTTTCCGGTAACATAGATTTTTCCGTGCATATAATTTAATAGATTCCACCACGTAGAAGGCTTAACTATCTGTAGAAAATTAGGATTCAAAAGGCAAAAACCCAATTGACAAGAAATGTTAAAACCCTACATGGATCAAAACAGTAATTCACTCATGTATTTAGGACAAAAGTATCATAGTTGTTACAGATTTGAAACTAAGGCCGTTAATTTTTTTTCAATATAAATTATATAATTTAGAACACTCCTATAAACAAAAACTAACGTGTTTCTTTCATGGTTTTCAAAACCGGACCGGACCGGACAGTTGGACTGGAAAAATCGGGAACCGGTCCGTTTTACCCTAGAACTGTTATTTTGCCAAAAACCGTTGATATAGTCAGTAAACCGCTAACCCAGGTGATCAAACCGTTTGAACCATCCAACGGTTTTGACCGTATTTATTTATTTATTTGTCAGAACAGGCCATCCATTTGATTCGAACGGTTAGACCATTCGACCTGAGAATCAGACCCCTAACCGGTTCATTATTCGGTTTGGTTTTAAAATCCTTGGTTTCTTTTGATAGGAAATATTTCAAAAGAGAATACAAAATAAATATATTTCATATATGGTCAATATCAATGTTCCCTATCTCTTTTAAATTTCTATTTCCTACTTAATTTCCTTTTCATAATTTGTTTTCAAATAACAATTCAGAAGTTAACCAATGTATTAGTAGAAACATATATACAAGATAAACAAAAAAGCATTAGGAAAGAGAGAGAGGCTAGGAGTTGATTGGTAATATTTAGATGGAAACTAAATATATACTTGAAGAACCAACAGAAAATGTGTAATTTTCTTGTAGGAGAGAAATAGGAAATTTGTTGTTGATTTTTCCAAGCATGAATGATGTTTCAACCTTCATATATTTAAAAGTGTTTTCCTGAAACTATTTATTCTTTGTAGATCTCTAAATTCTAACAGCTTCACTGGAGAAATACCTCCTTCCATTGGTAATCTGTCCAAACTTTATTGGTTGGATCTAGCTGACAACAAGCTTACTGGAACCATTCCAGTCTCTAATGGGAGTACACCTGGTCTAGATATGCTAATTCACACCAAGCACTTGTATGTCCCAACTCATTAATTCTATTTTGGATTAGTTGTTTTGTTCTTACTTGAATTCATTTTGAATAGAAATTCACATAGATTATGCTCATCTGCAGTCATTTTGGAAAGAATCAGCTCTCAGGAACCATCCCACCTCAACTTTTCAGCTCAGAAATGATTCTCATACATGTGTAAGGCCTTCAATAAACTAGTTACTAGATCCAATTGTTATTACACCTAATTTAATCGGGTTCTTCATATTGTGAGTGTAGTGTGGCAAACATTGTAATAAATAAATGGCAACCTTTCTCAAAAGCTCCAACGGTAGCCATCTATATGTTTTTCTACAAATTATATATTATTTAATATATAATAAATAAATGGCTGTCCAATTAACATTGTATATATATGGTTGTGGTTCTATACTTCTATATATGTTATTCAAAATTCAACCAAAACCAATACTAGAACACCTAAATAAGATCAATGAAGTGTCTCACAAGCGAAGGCATAGAATCCCAATCCCCATTCAAAAAATTAATACTAACAAGGAGTCCGAGATAATAGTATGGTTTTAAAAAATGATCTGAAAATGGAATCATTTTGGCCACTGGTTTTTGGGTCGAAAAGATGATCTGTTTTGATAATAAAAATTAAAAAAATTAAAAAAAATTAAAAAATAAAAAATAAAAAAACGGTTATAAACCATTGAATGGGTCGATAGTTCGACCGTCTGGATCAATGGGTCATCGACTGATTTTTAACGGTTTTTGACTAAGATTGAATTTGGGATAAAACGGAACTGATTGCCTAAATGGTTCCTGGGCCCAATGGTCCAACCATATGGGTCAACGATGGTTCAAAAACCATGCATAATAGTAAAAGAAGAATAACTCTAGCCCCTTGTAAACAAAATGGCCGCCAAAATTGCCTTTAGTTCCATCTCTAAGACCAAAACTTTCACCTCTACACATCCTCCTGCAGTTAACAAACTTCTTAGGTAGAGCTGAAAATTAGAATTTAAGCTTAAAGTGATAAAAGTATGATTTAAGCTCTTAACAATCTTCTTATTTATATATGAAAAATCCTGAATAAATTCAATAATATCAGTCTTCATAGCCTCCCAAAATTCCTTAAAATAAAAGCATATATAGGACCAGAGGCTTTGAAATTACCAATACTAAACAAAGTCATTTTAATTTCTTCCTCCCATGAAATCTCAGCTAAAAGGGCATTATCTTCTCGAGTAATAACTGAAGTAAAAAGATCATTAAGGTCAGTCAGATTCTCCTTTTTTCCGAACTTGTGTATCTTCCTTTGTTCTGTTAATGTAATTTTAGTTTTATCAAAAAAAAAAAAAAAAAAACATTAAAGAACCATAGTAGAACGTACACACGAATGATCAATATTTTTATTTTTTAAAAGCAAAAAAAAATTAAAATAGTGTTATTTTAAATTGGCTGCAGTTGGATGTAATGTAAACCAAGAACCGATATAAATTCTGTTTTGTAAAATTATATTCCAATTCAATTTTAACGTTGATAATCGATATAAAACCTCAAAATCTAACACCACATTTTGTGATGGAACTAAGGTTTGTGTCATGATGTTTTACTTTTCGATCGACTTTGTGTCAGGCTCTTTGATAATAACCAACTGACTGGGAGCATCCCTCCCACTCTAGGACTCGTGAAAACTTTGGAGGTTGTGTAAGTATTTTCCAACACTGAGGACAACAATCGTATCAGATTTAGAGCCAGAAAAAAAAAAAAAATCCTTCTGTAAATATCACGCTTTGATTATTGGGTTTCATCTTTGTGGCAGGCGTCTTGACAGGAACTTATTAAGTGGACATGTTCCTTCCAGCCTCAATAACCTAACAAGTGTTAGTGAGCTGTAAGATGATACATGACTTAACACTTGTTTCCAGAATGAAACAATTAATCATGCTTCGTTGTTATTGCAATTCAAAGATTATATATAGAATCTGACTTATCAGTACTCTATTTTTAGCCACTTGTCCAACAACACGCTGACAGGTCCGGTGCCTGACCTAACTGGCATGGATGTCCTCAATTATGTGTAAGTAGCAACTTGTTAACTTATTTGTGAAAGCATAGTAATAGTAGTTGGAAGCAAAGAAAAGTAATTTAAACATTGAATAAATGCTTTTTTTTTTTTAACAAAACAAGAATGATGGTACTTTCTATAAGCAAACAAGACATATGTTTGCAAATTGCGATAAGATCCCTGCAATGTTGCACCGATATCTATAGGTAATGCAACACTTGCAGCTCAAAGTGCATTTCATGGTACCAGTATTAAAAAAAAAAAAAGTAATTTTTGTATAAAATTGCTTATATATATACCACAAAAACAAGGGTAGTTAAAGATATATTCCCGCTTTCAAATTTATTTCAAAATTTAACCAATTAGACCCCAATGAACTGCAAAAGTGAATAATATCCATAAACTGAGGTCTTTAACTTAACCCCATATGGAAATTAAAGGAGACATTGCCTTCTTTAATGAAATTGAGGGAAACTTGAGGCTACGTTTGGAAACGATGCAAAAAAGTGTGAATGTAAATATGTATAGTGTAAAACAGTTCACATAAATTGTAAAGTTGGGTTCATATAAATTGTAAAGTTGGGTTAATTTTGCACTGACAATTTTATCTTCTTACCAAACAGACTTTTAGCTGTAATGGATGCAAACATGAATTTCAATAAAACATATACTTTTTTTTTTATCAAAAATCCACTCGAATGCAAATTACTTCCTTTTTTATTGATGTACTTTTACATCTTATTATCAATGTAAATATGCATTGGTCTGTCATTTATCAACACATAAATGTAATGTTACCAAACACAGATAAAAGTGAACCAGAGTACAAATTTACCCTGAACCGAGATTTACACTCCATTTGCATCGTTTCCAAACGCAGCCCTGAAAAATTCCCCAACCAAGGAGACTATCTTGCCCAACAACTACTATGGTAATTGCAAGATCCAAATGGAACCTACTGATCCCAAAACAATTTCTATCTCTGCAACCTAACCATTTTCATGACTAGAGCCACAATACAATGATGCTTTATTGACACTGGGTGTTCACTTTGTGCTTAATAGGGACTTGAGCAATAATAGTTTTGATGCAACAGATATTCCTCAGTGGTTTTCAACCTTAGAGTCCTTGACCACACTGTATGTACTTCTCTCTCTATCTTATCTAAACGTATAAAGATACACATATTCCATCCCCAAAATTAACCAAGTTTGAGTTGCAGAGCAATGGAATATACACAACTTAAAGGACAATTACCGCAGGCCATGTTTTCAGCTCCACAGCTGCAGACTGTGTAAGTATTGCCATACCTTGAAGAATATTTACCAGATATGTTAAAATTGATCCATTCTAATGAATGTGCTATTCCTGAAAGGTTCAATAAGAGGAAGAAAACTACAAATCTTCATAGTATATATGCATAATATTAGATATTATAATATAGACTAATGGTTTGAAAATATGGTCGCAGGAGTCTAAGGAACAACAGGATTAATGGGACTTTGGACATTGGCCTTAACTTTAGTAACGAGCTAGAACTGATTGATTTGCAAAAGAATTTCATTTCTGCTTTTGTGGAAAGAGGAGGTTACAGTAATCAGTTATTGTAAGCTAACTACACTTCTTATGAAGCCATTATTTCCATGTTAGCTCCTAACTAGCTAGTTTTGGATATTCCAAGCAATTGAAGATGTGAAATTTAGAGTCCGTTTGGTTCACAGTCGGAATCGGAATGGGAATCAGAATCAAAATCCTTTGGGATTATAATCGAAATGGTCTATTCCCATAGTCTGTTTGGTTCAGACAGGAATGGGATTTCATTCCCAAGGGAGGGGCAGGGAATGACCATTCCCTCAAATGGGGGAATGTCATTCCAGCAGGAATGGGAATGGAATTCCAATTCTACCCAACCAAACAGTTGGAGTTGGAATAGCCCATTCCGATTCCGATTCCAGACCCCTATTTCTGTGAATGAAACGGGGCCTTAAATGTTTGAGGCATTGCTAATTCCTTCTTATCATTATTACTTAAGTCTTATTTATCCCTATGTAGTAGGGCAACCTCTCTTAGTGATCATCTTCTTTATTTTTGTTAGGCTTCAAGGTAATCCAGTTTGTGAGGAATCAGGAGCAACAGCCAAATACTGCACACTTCCACAGAAAACCACTCCACCATATTCCACCAACACAATTAGTAACTGTACTCCAGTCCTCTGTCCTCCAGATCAAAAGGCCAGTCCCAATTGCAAATGCGCATACCCATACATGGGCATCCTATATTTCAGAGCTCCTTCATTCTCTGACTTGGGGAACTCATCCTATTATGTTACTCTTGAGAAGTCACTAATAGCTTCATTTCAGACCTATCAACTTCCTGTTGATTCAGTTTCTCTGAGTGACCCAACCAAGGATTCAGATAATTACCTTGAATTGGATCTAGAAGTCTTTCCTTCTGGATCAGAACGTTTCAATCAATCAGTAATTTCAAAGATTGGCTTCATGCTTAGCAACCAAACCTTCAAGCCCTCAAAGCTTTTTGGACCATACTTTTTCATTGGTTCAGAATATGGGGCCTTTGCAGGTAAGTAATTAATAATACCCTTTCTTTAGAATTAGCAGAAGAATTTGCTTCACTTATGATAACCTTTCTTTGTATGTATCAATTAGAAACATCTATACAATCGGAATCCAGTAAATCAGTGAGCCTTGGAGTTATAATTGGAGCAGCATGTGGTGGATTTGTGCTTGTCCTAGTCCTAACCCTTGCAGGATTATATGCTTTTCATCAAAAGAGAAGAGCTGAAAAAGTTATTGCACAAAACAAATCTTTCTGTAAGATCTTGATTTAGTCAATACAAATTTAATTCTCTCCTGTTAATTTTGTCCTGTTTAATTACTTTTCTTCTCTCTTCATGGTCATCATGATGGCTTCTATGTTATGCCCATGCAGCTTCTTGGGACCCCAGCAAAAGCAGTAGCAGCATTCCTCAGCTAAAGGGAGCAAGATGGTTCTCTTATAATGAGCTGAAGAAAAGCACCAATAATTTCTCAGAGGCTAATACCATTGGATCCGGGGGTTATGGGAAGGTAAATCATGGTTCCCTGTCTGTTGTTTGAGCATCAACTACAGATCATCTATTTTTGACAACAAATAATTTTACAGGTTTATAAAGGAACCCTTCCCAATGGTCAACTGGTTGCAGTTAAAAGAGCTCAGCAAGGATCCATGCAGGGAGGCATCGAGTTCAAAACTGAGATTGAGCTGCTTTCTCGGGTTCATCATAAGAACCTTGTTAGCCTTGTTGGATTTTGTTTTGATCAAGATGAACAAATGTTGGTCTATGAATATGTTCCCAATGGTACTCTAAAGGAAACCCTTTCAGGTAATTTAACTAATTATCTATTGATTTAACAAAAAATGGATATCCTCCCAATTCAAATGAAACTATTACCTTGGCCTTGTAAATGATTTATCTGGATAAATGCATTTATCTAGCTCACAGAAGAAAGCATTTAACGTTGCTCTTTTATTCCCTAGGTAAAGGTGTACAATAATCGATTTATCCAAAAAAATTAACATTATTGAAAGGAAAATATTGTCCCATTATGTATTAACAATTTTGGCACCCATGTATAAGTAATTTATCTAAATTTGAGGAAAATATTACTTCTCCAAGTAAATGAACTGTTTAGGAATCGTTATTTTTCACGAGACCCACTAATGCCAGAAAACAAATGCAAGTTTATTTCTTTTCAATAGACCCACTAACTTGTCTGCCCCAATTTCTTCCCAAAAAATGAATGAGGCCTAAGTGTCACTAGCATATTTACCAAAACAAAGTTTCCCTAGCATATATGCACATAAAAATCTGGATCAAGCCAACAATGTATTGTTATGTTTGTGCCTTGAATTCTTTGTGGCAACCCACTTCATGAATCTGCTGCAAATTAATTTGAGAAAAACCCGAATACAAAGAGTTATGCATTTTCGGGGGGTTCTTTCTTATATACAGAGTCTTAGTCTTGTGAGAGATGAGTGAGACATTTGGTGTATTTGGGGTTTAGGGTTTTTTTCTGTAAGAGCACAATTCTGTATTTCTTCTCCATTGCCAAATTCATAGTGGATTTCTGTTCCTCCTTCGCCCGTGGACATAGGCTATAAGCCAAACCATGTAAATCTGTATGTGTGTTCTACGCTTATTTCTCTTTATCTCTACTTTTACTTTCAATTTGGGTGCCATTCGAATTTATTTTCTTGGATTTTTCTGCACATGTATCAATAAATGTTTGGCATTCTGCAAATTCCTAGATTATTAATACACAAGAAAAAGGTTTATTCAAGTTGCTTCTTACATGTCATTATTATAGAAATCCATCCTCACAAAAATGGGGCTCTTTGCCATATACATATTCGAATTTTGTGCAGGTAAGTCAGGAATCCGGTTGGATTGGACAAGGAGACTTCGAGTGGCCCTCTGCTCAGCAAGAGGGCTAGCTTATTTGCATGATCATGCGGATCCTCCCATAATACACAGAGACATCAAGTCGAACAACATTCTATTGGATGAAAGGTTAAATGCAAAAGTTGCTGATTTTGGTCTATCAAAATCTATGGGTGAGGAGAAGGATCACCTCACCACCCAAGTAAAAGGAACAATGGTGAGTGGTCAATTAACTAAATTTGGTGCTGACAATAACCATAGATATAAGTGCCATTCCAACTGTTTGGTTTAGCGGAATCAGAATCCCATTTTCATTCCTAGTGGAATGACATTCCCCCATTTGTGGGAATGGCCATTATCTCTCCCTTATTTGAAAGTGAAATCTCATTCCAACTGATTTTAATTTCCATTCCCATTTCTGTCTGAACCAAACAGGTTATGGAAATTAGACCATTCTGATTCCGATTCCGAATACAAAGCAAACAGACCCTAAAAGGAATAGGGTGATGTGATGTAGGACTTTAGCTTTTGTTTCTTATGAAAGAAATCTAATGTTGGTTGTTGCAGGGCTATTTGGATCCTGAATATTACATGTCTCAGCAGTTGACAGAGAAAAGTGATGTGTATAGCTTTGGAGTGTTACTACTAGAGTTGATAACTGCAAAAAAACCAATAGAGAGAGGGAGATATATAGTGAGAGAGATGAGAATAACAATTGATAAGACAAAGGATCTATATGGGCTTCATGAATTGCTTGATCCAGCCATTGGCTTAGGCACTTCTCTCAAAGGATTCGAGAAGTATGTGGATCTGGCAATGTGGTGCGTGGAAGAATCAGGAACTGATCGCCCCACAATGAGTGAGGTGGTGAAAGAGATTGAGAGCATTATGCAGATAGCTGGTCTAAATCCAAATGCTGAATCAGCATCTACCTCAGCAACTTATGGGGGAACTAGTGGAGGGCATTCTAGACATCCTTATGGGCATGAGTCCTTTGATTACAGTGGTGGGTACCCACATGCCAAGGTGGAACCACAATAAGCAGAATACATTTGTATATAGATGATCGTGAACATGGAAGTATATATGCAACCAGGTTTAGCCTTTGATATGTTTATATTATACTATGAAGAGCAGTAGTTCTGGATAAATATAACTGGATGCATGTCAGTTTGATGGAAGAGGAATGGGGAAATGCTTAAAGTTCTAGTTAATCCAATTGTCTTCTGCATGTTTTATGCATAATGAGTATTTCTATGTGAACCCAATTTTCCTACTCACATTTAATTTCCTACCCACTCTTTACCCGCCTTGAATTTCAGCCACACATCTCTCAATTCATAATAGAGATGTGTGGCTGCAATTCACGGCGGGTAGAGGGTGGGTAATTCCGTTATTTTCTATTTACCTATTGGATTTTTTTCCCTGATAACTTCCTATTTTTCTCTTATTATTTTTTTTTATTTTTATAAATCCAAAACAGTTTAAGGTCCCATTCGTTTTTCGGTAAGTTACTTACCCGGGTAAATATACATACCCAGGTAAGTGTTTCCCATGAAAGACTTACCTGAGTAAGTGCATTTACCCATGTTCTTTTATTTCCCATGTAAATAAAGCTATGACTATTTTATCCATAAAAATCCATTATTAAAAGGGGCATTTTTGTCCCATTCAAGTGTTGGCAACTTTCTGCCGGTGGGAAATTTATTTACCCACCTAGGAGATGGGCATCACTTACCCTAGGTATCACACACACACACACACACACACATACATATATATATATATAAGAGCGAATAGCCCCATTTTCTGGACTTTTCATTAGACATTTTTACCCCTTATCTAAGCAACATACAATGGGCATAAAAAATGGCATATATGTCCTTTACTCTCACTCCAAAAACTACCCACTTATAACAGTTAAGAAACTATCCACTAATAACTGTTCAAAAACTGCTATGAATTGTAAATAGTTTTGTCTTGGAGATACTATCACGTGCAAATGCACGCAATTATACATAAATGAAGTGGGAAGGTCTTCAGACCATATCCCCACACTTATAACAGTTAATGAAAATGCTCACTTATAATTTAAAGGAAGGTCTTCAGGCCATAGCCCCCCACCATTCAAACATTTGGCAACCTTAACTTTCTAGAAAAAGAAAAAACCCACTCCTCATATACATAAATTGCTTTTAACCACATTTAAATTTTTGAACTCTAAGACAGGTGTCATACATTCAATAATAATTCTTTAGAAATAAATGAGAAGTGAGAAGCTTCCATTCCTAAAAAATGGAGGAAATGTAGAAGTGGTTATCCACAACCACTTCAATCTACGGTTTACAATTTCAATAGTCAGTTTTATTTGAATTTCAAATATAAATATAATTATTAGACAACTAATGAAACTCAAATAAAATCTTCTAAAAAACTAAAATAAATTAATATTACTATAAAAACAAACAAAAGAGTAAAATTGAACCAAATTGATACATATGTGTGACTGCGTAGAATTTCGAGTCGGAACAATGCATGATTTGAAAATATCTCCTCCCTGTACTCCTTTTTCTTTTATTTAATAATATAATTTTAATGAAACTTCAAGGTGGTCAAAACTCCATCTGAAGTAAATTTTGGGTAAAAGAAAATCCGGTTCTTCAATCTGAATTCTATAAAGAGAGAGGTAGCTGCCCTAAGCTCTCTCTAAGTTTATGCTATGATTCTAATTAGGTCTGTAAACAAATAAAAACACGGATCAGACATATCCAGATTCAATCTAATTGTTGAAAACCAAATGGAAATCCAATCAAATCTAAGGGTTTCAGATCGAATTCAGATCCAATTGGATTCTGATATTATTCAAGTTTGATTTGTTATGAAAAACTAAAAAATTAGCTACTTTCTTATTAACATATGCATGTAAGTATATACTAAGTTATGTTAGATTTGATTCTATATTTCATATTCATATACCTACTATAACTTTATATGTATGTGTATGTCTTAATGATAAAGTAGCTATTTTTTTGTGTTTTGTTTTTTAGAGATAAATTTATATATACTTATATATAATTTAAGCCGACAGAGATCATCTTAATCAGATAGGGGTTAGATTCCATCCATCGGCAGCCCTACTTCTTATGTTAAGGCTGTGTTTGGTTGCAGTACAATTTTATTTGTACTAGTATTAATACATAGGAGTGCAAATGAAAAAAAAATACAAATTCTGATTTAATTTTGTTTTAGGTTTTACTTTATTCTTGTACTGCAATCAAATAAAATGAATTAAAATTTAAAAGAAAAATAGGTTAGAATTTACACTCAAATCATTTGCACTGTTGCTTCAGTACAAATTTATTTACGTTGCAACCAAACACAGTCTAAGTTTCAAAACAACAGTGATATTATTCATTAGAATAGTTGGGTTTTCTGTGAAAACTTTGAGGGTTTTTTAAGCTTTTGTATTTTGGTTATATACTTGAACATTATTGCCTGGGATTTTTTTCCCTAGATGTTGCCTAGGAATATGAAATTGATAATTGCCAGAGTCTCTCTTTTTAAGCCCTGCGAGATGACTGCTTATGGGCTGGGCTGGGCTTGGCCGGGGCAGCCTAATTTGGTTGAGCTAGAACCTATTTGATCAATGGCATAGCCCAGGCCTAGGAATAAAATAATATTTATATAGCCCAGAGGCTAGAAATTTGTTGACCAGGCTAGGAATGACCATACCCAGTAAGGCCTCCACTCTTTGCTCCTCCATGCGCCTTGCAATGGGAGGTCCCGAAAATAAAAAAGGTCATTACTAATGTAGGTTCCAAATAGGGGTGTCGATTGGACTGGATTTGGTCCAATCCGATTCAGTTCAATGTGAGTCCATTACAAATGGATCAGGTTCAATTCAATTTAAGGAATAATTTGAATTATTTTGGACGATCCAATTTAATGTTTGGGCCGTCTAATTTGTTCAAATTCATTTTAATTTAGATTGGTTTCAATCCAAACCCGGTTCATTGACACTTATATTTTTATCTTATATCAATGGACCGGATATTGGCTTAATCCAACTAAATCCAATATAAATTTATTACAGACGGACCAGGTCCAGTCCAATCTAATAAATACTTTGAACCGGATTGGTCCAATCCACTATGTCTTTTTGGTCCGTCTAATCCGTCCAAATTGATTTTAGACTGGACGGGGTTCAGTCCAAAACCGGTCCATTGACACCCTTAGTTCCAAACATCTAATTCTAGGGTCTTGGAAAGTATGGACCGGATAAAGTCCTAAACTATGAATTTTTTTTGCACAAATTAATTATGATATTATTAAATTGAATGTTAGCAAGTTAGTAGTATAAAATTTAAGAAGATAGTCAAATTAATTATTATCTCATTAGATGTAAGGGTGTCAATTGGACTGGATTTGGTCCAATCCGATCCAGTCCAGTGTGAGTCCCTTACAAATGGACCAGGTCCAATCCAATCCAATGAATATTTTGAACGATTTGAGATTGGTCTAATTCAATGTCTGGACTGTCTAATCTGTTCAAATTCATTTTAATTTATGTTGGTTTCAACCCTAACCTGGTCCATTGACACCTATATTCTTATCTTAGATCAGTGGACCAGATTTTAGCTTAATCCAATGCAATCCAATATAAATTTATTACAAACGTACTGGGTCCAGTCCAATCTAATAAATATTTTAGACTAGATTGGTTCAATCCAATATGTCTTATTAGTCCGTCCAATCTGTCCAAATCGATTTTGAATTAAACGAGTCCATTCCAAAACCGGTCAATTGACACCCTTAATTGGATGGAAAAGTTCGGACTGAAACAATTTCATCATTCTACTTTTCTAAGCTAATTAGTTGTGGATGTGTCTTTTATCTATTGCACTTTTCCATACTATAAATGTCACTTGATAATATAGTTAGTTCCTAAGTTTTAATAAAGCTTGATCCATTCAAGGGCTCTCCTTTATATTTCTAGTTTAGAGTGATCGCATTAGTGGAGGAATCATGGACGAAAGGTTGGACGAAGGTGTGTAATTTCTGAATTTGTGGAAGGGTGCATTGGGGTGGGGTCTTATATTACTCTTCCCAAACTTAACTGAACCTAAGGACCAATCCAAGTTAGGGGTGATCATGGGTCAGGCCGGGCTTTACACTTATGATAAGGGCTATAGCTTAGGCTTGACTTGGGGTTTCTGGGCCTGAAACATAAGCCTTAGCCCAAGTCTATATGGGTTCAGGCTGGGCCAGGCCTGATTTCGGACTAATGTCACTCATATATAAAACATTATATATCTATATATTAAATGACATAACATGCATATAAACTTATTTTATACATTACATAATATAAAACATTACATATAATATAAATTATACCTGTCATGTTATAATATCTATATATAAAATAACATGTATACATACGTATACATTATACACAAAATGTGTAAGTTTAAATATATGTGGGTGGGGCCGGGCTTGAAATATTAAGCCCAAGCCCGACCCTAAAATTTGCAGGCTTTATGTGGGCTTGGGCCTGGTGTGTCCGAAAACACGTCGTTTAACACTTCGGAACACCAGTTTAAACATTTATAACTTTATTCCGATTCTCGAACAACTACTAATGCAATAAAGTGATGAGAATGGGTCATATCCACAGGGAAGCAAGGGAAAAATAATTACATACTTAGATTCGGGAGAAAACACAAAAGGGAGTTGCGGAAATATAAAATTAATTAATTAAAAAGAAAGAAAAAAATAGAATTCATTAAAACCAAATTCGAACAATACTGAGAATAACAAGTGCATAAAAATAAATAACAGAAACAAATAAATAAAAGGAACGAAATAAAAATGTTCGAAAATCCGATTAGAGGTAGTAGTCTCCGGATCTCTCCTTCGACCCTCGAACTTCTCGAGCAAGGCCTTCTGTCTTACCTGGCCGAATTTTAGCTATGCAGAAAAGAAATAAAACACAAATTAAATCTAATAAAAAAATTTGTAGGAAGGAAAAAAATTAAAATGGAAATTAAAGAACAGAAAGTAATTCTAAAACTGAAGAAAAAATGGTTAGGATTCAAATCCAGAGGTGGTAGTAGTGGTGTTGGTCAACTGCAAGTAGGAACCCCTCCTCTTGCCTGGGCGTCCTCATCTTCCTCTACCCTTGAACTTCTCAAGATCAGCCTTCCTTCTTACT